ATTCACTACTTTATTACTTGACGACCACGTATACTTGCGTGAGTGTGTTTGGCCGTAACATTACTCTAGGCTAGTTTTCATAAGGAAAATACTGTAATGGCAGCCTTTCCATGTGCTGGTATACTTGGTATATACTAGTTACCTTTTAAATCAAGAAGATGCGAACTCTAGTGAAGATCTGTTTAGAAGAGCATTTCATATGGTTATAGGGCTGCCGGAAGGAACAAGTAGAAATAAGTTTAATTGAATTACAGGGTAACTATTACTAACCATCCTAAACACAAACAAACATAATCGAAGTGACCCACTTGGTGCTTTCACCAACAGACTAAAGGATGATAGCAAGAAACAATAACACAGAGGAATGCACATTCCTACATGCTGCTCACAATTGGTGGCTATATGCTATAAGTAGGCTTTCATTTCTTCATCCTTTTCCACTCTGGTTGTCTCCCTACCACCATTGCCCCTTCTCTGGTCTACTCTATTTTGTAAGTACGGTAAATCCTACCCCCAAATTCCCTCGCCCAGGAGTCAACAGTGGCCCTTTTCTATTTAGTTTCATTGGTGATTGAACTCTGATTGAACTCCCACCCTTTTGGTTAGAAGTGGAGCGCTCTTACCTCCGACGCAACCTCTATTCTCCTACCATCTAGCATGTTTTGGGAAAAATTTTTAGTACCACCTCTGACAAAGTGAACTTTTCCAGAAATCAAACATACTGGCACAGTGAACTACTGCCAGCAGAAGAGAAGAGCAAGTGTTGAGCTACAAAGGAAGTAACCATCCTCCACCCTTAGAGCGCGATACACAAGACATCAATCTTTTGATTCATTTCTCAACCTAATTTCATAATGTTACACTTCCAACAAAATGTCTCTTTGGTCTTAAACTTGAGACGACAAGCTTGCCACTCTGCCCCATATCCCTATCTACCTGGATCATACTTGATCTCAAACTTGGTTTGAGGATTGGCTAGCTCAATTGCTGGTGAAACTAGCATAATGGTGCAGGGAAATTGAACCTCAATACCTGCTATCTGTATGTAAGTTTACCGGTAAACTTGCTCTGTCTGCCAGATATTACCACCCTATAAACTTATCACTAGAAAAAGGAAAATGCAACCAGGGGAGGAACCTTGTGGTGTACATGCCAGATGTTGCTATATTTTTTTTATAAGTATCAGATGTTGCTATGTTGAGCGCATAGCAATGCAGCCATGCTTGAGGGAAAATTTACTGATTTAAGAATCAAGCATACAACATCATAAAAGAAAAACTTAGGCTAAAATTTTTGACATCCTAAAATCCAAAAGATTTACAAGTCCAATGGGCCAATTGCACAAGTTGCTATTTAGTAGCTTTGTATTAGCATAATTAATTTATACAACCGTTCCCTTTTCGAAATTTCCAAACTTATGCCCAAGTTCTTCTACAAAAACTTTTAACTCCCTCTTCAATACTGAGAACCAAAACAGCAATAGATCACCAAATGACTCTTTAGTCTTTACTCACTCATACCAAGTCTGGATTGACATTGACCTCACTGTTTCCCTGAATGCTGTATTACCTAAAAACTGTTGGTCCAAAGAGGACAAAAGCATCATAAAGAGCACATATCATAGTCTTGCATCCACAAGGCCTACTCAAGGAAATGACATTCATCTATAATGTTTTTTTTTTAAACTCAAGTGTGAATTTCATGTTTATTATTCATATGCTTAGCTATTATCTCCTCAAAAGGGTGTCTAAACTTTTCACTTTATCCAAACTAATTCTATTTTCAACCAGTTATTAAAGTAGGTACAGTAACATGTTTTTTTAATTAAAGGAAGTAGTTATAGTAACATGCTGTATTAAGAACAACAAATCATCAGGTCAAGTTGAGCATTGGAGTTTATACGTGGTGAAGCAGTTTTATAAGCTCTTTGGCCACAGCATCAAGCAGACACCGATCAACCACATAGAAGTTCAACTAATTACCTTGAGTCCTCTTTTCTCAGGTAAAAAAAACTTCAATGGACAAGTGTGAAAGACAGGTTAACTCACTTTTCCAGAACCAAGGATGAAAGAGAAGGGAATTGGTTCGCCACTTTCATCTTTGTGATCATACGTTGAGTCAAAGCGCCATCCTTGCTTTGCAGCAAGTCTCCCGTAATAATGAATTGCAACCTGTCCAATCACAGTAAGAAGAAAGCTTAATTACTTTACTCCAGAACTGCAACTGACATCATAAAGCACTATAAGTACTTAAGTTTTATGTCATGATGACATTAATGTGCAAGAGCACCTTCTATTCAGATATGATCCACTGATTCCTCCTTGCTTTTTCTTCAAAGAGAAACCATATGCAACACCATTGACCTCAGAGTGACAAAGTTATATAAACAACACTTGCCGAATTCTGACTTATTCCATTACTAGCATTTTGGTCCTATTAGTTTTAGAGGTCATAAAAAGAAGTTATCTGCACTTATTGATAACTCCACATAAGAAAAAGATGCTTGTCTAGGCTTCTATTTTACTTAACAAGGAAAGACCAGTATAATTTGATAGATTGTTTGTAGACAATATATATGCTAGAGAAACTTGTTTTTCACTATGTCACCATAATCATATCATTATTTCGTGCAAGTAAAAATTCAACATTAGAATCTCAACCTAACTCAAAGGAGGAGATTTCTTGTCCCAAATTTCGCAAACATCAATCGATCATAAGCTATGCCTCCATCCAAGCTAGTTGGAGTGAGCTATCTAAATCCTATATACATTCCGCTCTAATTGGCCTCATTTCATCCCAATTAATTTGTCTTTTAAGCAAATTAGAAGTTAAATAAAACTAGAATCCTTAATTCCAGCTAGTCGAATCATTTGCTTCCACAATTTTGCAAACATATTTCATTCAAAATCTTCCAAAGACTCAATTTTTTTTCTTTTGCTACCTATAATATGTGATTACAATATAAAGCAGAAGCTCATAGCATTTGAGGAGAAGAGAGAGAGAGAGAGAGAGAGAGAGAGAGAGAGAGAGAGAGAGAGAGAGAGAGAGAGAGAGAGAGAAGGGTAGCAACCACATCACCATCAAGGGGGGTATCCCCATCACCAATACGAAGGTCCAAGGCCTTGACACCACCAGAATTGGGCAGCTCTGTGAACTGTGGAACTTGAGCATTTGAACTGGATCCATTTGGAAAGATTAGAGCAGAGAATGAAAGAGTAAGCGCAGAAAGAGAGAAAGCTCTTCTTGATTTCTGAGTTGAACAAGAAGAGTCTTCTTGCTTACGTGTAGTTGAGGAGGGGAGGGTTTTGTGGCCATGGCGTATACATACGTATGTTGGACATGGTGGTGATGGAACTACTAGTTTCATCGTCATCTTCACTTCTGGCCTTCCTTTTTGGTGAGGGACAAGAATTTCATTAATGTATCCTTTTGCAGGATGCACCGGACAAAATAATGCATGTAGTAGTTTTTGTTATTACTAATTTTTTATTTGATACACCTTTTTTTAACGAATATTTTATTAATGCAAATATTAGTTATATAACATATTTGATGTTATCATAGGTATAACTAATACATAGTAAACCATGATATCAGTAATATCAAGGCTATTAATGCATGTATTAGCATAGCTAAAGATAAAATTATCCTTAAAGCTAAAGAATATGGAGAGCAATTTTATAAATAACTAATCTATATTATATTAAAAGTACGAACGCCCTTAGCGAAATATCGTTCGTCTTTTATAAAAAAAGATTTTGTATTGAATAAAATTATAATTTAAGTTACTTTCCTAATATTTAGGAATATGAAATCAACTATAAAATTTTGGCTATTAATTGAAATTCTCCTTCTTTAAAGAAGTTAAAATTAATATATTAGATTTTTCCTAACATTTAGGGCTTTAAATTTAACTGATTATGGAAAGTATTCGTGAAGTCTAATACGAATCTTCATGAACTTCTAAAATCTTCAAACTTCCAAATTCCTTAAAATATTGTATCATATACTTACGGTTAAAATTTCCCAGCCATAACAATTCAAGATGGACATGTTGGGCCACTTCTATCCTCTATATGGAAGATCACGTTTAACTTGAACTGTTGTAACTATTGTTGGAATAGCAGTTTTTCTACAGGTAATTTTTTCATTCCATAAGTTCTCTTTAAAATATAAGTAACTTCATGCATCTACTTTAATCGAGAATAAATTATGAAACTTAGCATGCTTTAGTGCTTTAATCGTGTTATTTATCAATTTTGATATGACATTATTGCGTTATTTAATAATAGACATATCAATCATTGTCGCATGTACAAATATTATCCATCTTTTCATAGGCAATTTAATTTCTTTTATCTATCACATGAATTTCTTTTCTAATATAATTTTATTTATTTCAATGTAGAATAAAATAAGCCAAGATCTATAGTAATTTTGTTGTTCTTTTTTAAAAGATGGTTCTAATAAAAGAATACAATATATTTCGTTTATAACAAATCTATACCGGAAATAACCAAAATAATACTCTGATCAATGTTTTGTTTAAAGGTAACTACCAATAAAATCACACAAAGCAAGAGAGGGAGAGAGTTAACATTCAATCTGATTTCATGAGGAAAAAAAGGTTAAATTTTTATAGTGAGGAAGCATTTGTTACCTCCAGATTATGTTATTATCCATACATAGTAGTCCGATTTAAATTGTGTTGGCATCCGTAACTAACTAGGGTAGCGTTAGACCCTCGTGATGTACACGCGGTGCACATGGATACTTAGCCGATCACAAATAACTCTCAAATCACCTAGGGTTATATATGTGTATACGGTCGGAATCGAGTTCACCTACGACATGGCAAGTTAGGCTCGGAACATGACAACCAAAGATTGAAGATCAATCCCGAGTCCCACCGAGCTAGAACCCGGGGTCAGGACGCCTGTCTTCGAGAACATTGAGTCCGTAATCCCGGAGTCGACCTTAGCTCCGATCGAGCTCGAAGAAATATTGTTAGAATAACCAACAGAAGACTGAAATATTTGTGACCGGTCAGGTATTACGGCGGGAATCTCGGCGCGTATCAGTAAGGAGCATGCAATCAGCTAATCAAGAGATTTTTTACCTTTTATAGAATTGTACATAAAGTAGGACTCCTCGACTATATAAAGGGGGGTCTGATAATTCATTCAACACATTGTAACACCCATCCCAAAGCAATAGATTGTTATTATTTCTCTTTAAGCTCTTGTTCTTCTGTATCCTGACACCGATCGAAACGTACCCAGCTTGAGGGTGGCTAAACTTCCAATGATGATATTATTTAATTAGTGTGGTTTGTATTTACTTTGTCATTATTTATTTCAATTGCGATCTAATTTATCATTTTGTTTCAAGTTAGTCCACGTATCCTTAAAACTACTTACAAATTCAATTGTTATCCAATTTTGAGGGTAAATAGTTTTGCGCCCACCGTGGGACTAAGAATAATAGTGGTTATTTGATACAAATCTCCATAATACACACTACTTTATACTTGATCTTTGAAGTGACTCTAATTTCAGGTTAAAACTCAAAAATGTCGAACTCTCAATCAGCACCCCTACATGTTGACAACGAGTCCGGCCATCACGGTGAAAATAACAATATAGCGCCCGGTGACGAGGTACCGCCGTTGATCCCATCGAAATTTCGGCTGCGGGCCCGATTGACACTAATTCACATGTTGCTATCGACGCAAACTTGCCTACCGACCTCGAGAATAGCGTATGTGGTGGAGCCTCATCGGCAACTCAAAAGTCAAAACACACAAAACATTGGAGGAGACGGGATCAGTTTACGGGTGATATTCTAAATGTTGCAGGCTCAACAGGCGGTGATAGCTCTGTTACAGAACCAAAGTCGTGCACCGAGTAGAGTTGAACCCGATCCACCCCGGGAAGTCACTCGCAGGGATAAACCGGCCGCAGAAAGGTCAAATGAAAATGAATCGGGGGCTAACCCCGAGATTATAAGGATGCTCGAAGAGCTGACAAAACGGATAGAATCAGGGGAGAAGGAAATCGAAGCTAATGACAAAAGGTTTAGATTTACAATTTCAGGGCAGACCAAATCCCGGGAGCACCGCCAATATTGAAAGGTCTGGATTCCAAGAAGTTCGTGCAAAAACCTTTTCCTCCGAGCGCGGCTCCAAAGTCGATCCCTAAGAAATTCCGCATGCCCGAGATTGCTAATTATAACGGAACGACCAACCCAAATGAGCATGTAACCTCTTACACATGTGCCATCAAAGGGAACGACTTGGAGGATGATGAGATCGAGTATGTCCTGTTAAAAAAGTTCGGAGAGACCCTGTCAAAAGGGGCTATGATATGGTATCACAACTTACCTCCTAATTCTATTGACTCATTTGTTATGCTTGCGGATTCTTTCGTGAAAGCACACGCCGGGGCCATCAAGGTCGAGACCAGGAAATCAGACCTTTTCAAAGTAAAACAGAAGGATAACGAGATGCTCAGAGAGTTCGTGTCCCGGTTTCAAATGAAACGAATGGACCTGCCACCGGTCGCTGATGATTGGGCCATTCAGATTTTCATCCAAGGGCTCAATGTTCGAAGCTCGGTGGCTTCACATCAGTTGAAACAAAACCTGATAGAATATCCGGTCATTACTTAGGCCGACGTGCATAACCGGTATCAATCAAAGATCATAGTGGATGATGATCATTTCGGGGTATGTTTATCCCGTCATAACCATTGACAGAGTAAAGAGAGACATCGATCGTGAATTGAGACCAAACAGGGATCGGTATCAGCCGTATAATGGAGACTGAAGAAGCAATGGATCTGGGCGGAACGCTATGAGATATGAAAGGAGAAGTGATCGAGGTCAGGGCAACCGGGGACTCATGATCAAAACCATCTTTGATAGGCCCATCGGCCCTAAAGAAGCATCGAGGTTATCGGAATACAACTTTAATGTCGATGTTGTCGCCATTGTATCAGCTATCAGACATATCAAAGCTACCAAATTGCCTCGACCTATACAATCTGATCCAACCCAAAGGGATCCTAACCATATATGTAAATATCACGGCACTCGCGGCCACAGAACGGAGGACTACCGATAGTTGAGAGAGGAAGTAGCCCGACTATTCAACAATGGGCATCTTCGAGAATTCCTTAGCGATGAGCCAAGAATCATTTCAGGAATAGGGATTCTAACAAACAGATCGAACAAGAAAAATCTCAACATGTCATTAACATGATCATTTGTGGGGTTGATGTCCCTCAAGGGCCGATGTTGAAGCGCACCAAAGTGTCCATCACGAGGGAGAAATGAACTCGAGATTATATACCGGAAGGAACCTTGTCTTTCAACGACGAGGACGCGGAAGGGATCGTGCAACCCCACAATGATACACTAGTAATATTTGTACTCGTAAATAAAATTCGAGTTAAACATGTGTTAATTGATCCAGGTAGCTCGGCCAACATCATCTGATCGAGGGTCGTGGAGCAGCTCGGTCGACAAGATCAAATCGTGTCTGCGGTCCGAGTTCTAAATAGATTCAACATGGCATGTGAAACCACTAAGGGTGAGATAACATTACCGGTGAACACCGTCGGGACTATCTAGGAAGCTAAGTTTTATGTGATCAAAGGAGACATGAGGTACAACGCTTTGTTCGGGAGGCCTTGGATCCATAACATAAGAGCAATGCCTTCAACACTGCACCAAGTGCTGAAATTCCTAACACCCAGCGGAATCAAAATAGTTTATGGGGAACAATCGGCCACCAAGGAAATGTTCGCAGTCGATTAAGTGATCCCAATATCCACAATCTCAACATCGGAGGATCCGAACCATATGGTCAAAAACGGGTCCAAATAGCAATCACTGATACCAACCTCGATAGAATCGGAGAAACGAGGGGTAGATGAGGACGATGACTACGAGGTCCCCAGATCTTTTATAGCCCTCGATGACTCTAACGCTACAAAATCAACGATCGAGGAACTTGAACAAGTCGTATTGAATGAACACCTACCCGATCGAAAGGTATACATGGGCACATGGTTAAGCCCCGAGCTTAGGAAAAAACTCATTCAATTTCTTATAGCTAATGAAGATTGTTTCGCTTGGTCCCACCTTGATATGACAAGTATCCTGCCGGAGATAACCACTTATAAACTAAGCTTGGACCCGAAATTCCATCTGGTCAAGAAAAAGAAGAGACCCCAGTCCGAGGTCAAACATGCTTTCATCAAGGACGAGGTATCTAAAATCCTTAAAATAGGGTCCATTCAGGAGGTTAAATACCCGAATTGGTTAGCAAATGTAGTAGTAGTCCCTAAAAAAGAGAACAAATTAAGAATGTGTGTAGACTATAAGGATTTGAATAAGGCATGTCCCAAGGAATCTTTCCCTTTGCCCAACATCGAT